ATGTAGAATATATGAAATTGTAGCCCTAACCGCTTTGGCTCAGTGGATAAAGTGTTGGCCTGCGGACTGAAGGACCCCAGGTTCGATTCCGGCCAAGGGCATGTGCCTTCCCATATCCCCAGTAGGATGTTTCTCTCTCATCGATGTTTCTAACTCTCTATCCCTCTCCCTTCCTCTCTGTACAAAAATCAATAAAAATATATTTTTAAAAAGTCTTTATGTTGAGGATATCCTTTTAAAAAAAAGAATATATGAAATTGTATATATTTATAACATTATGTTATATGTAATATACATATGTAACTACATCTTTTCCTTGTTTCTTTAGAACTATATATTTTTTACTTTCATTTTTATATATAAAGGAATCTCGCTGTGGCCAGGTAGCTCAGTTGGTTAGAGCATCCTCCTGACATGCCAAGGTTGTGGGTTCGATCTCCAGTCAGGGCACATACAAGAAGCAACCAACGAATGCATCAATAAGAGGAACAACAAAATCAATCTTTCTCTCTCTCTCTCTTTCTCTCTAAAATTCAGCAAATTAAAAAATAAAATGAATCCTCTTCCAACCTACTCTTCCGCCTCTGCCCCCATCTCCCCGGCCACCCTGTGAGAGCACCTGTGTGTGTACATACCCCGGGGGCTGATGGTGGTGCCCCAGCCAGACACGCGGCAGCAGGTGCCAGCAGGGAGGCAGTCGCTGTGGGAGAGAGGTAGGACGCGGATGTGGCTCGAGAGACGGACGGGCGACTGCAGCTCCAGCAGCATGATGTCGTGGTCGTGGTTCAGGTGAGTGGGGCTGCTCCGGTACAGAGGGTGGGGAATGGAGCGGGCGACGTCCCGCACCTGCTCTCCAGCCTCCTCGTGCCCCAGGGTATGCTTACCCAGGGACACTTGGTATCCACTGTGGGTACAGCAACAGGGTGGTTAGAGGAGAAGATGGGCCCCTCCCTACCCCCATCCCAGCTCCATCACACCTTCCCCATCTCCTTCCACATCAACTCCAATCCCATCCAAATCCTCTTCTTCAAGTCCATTCCCATCCCCAACCCCCTAACTCCACCCAAACCTCATCCTCAAATGCGAACTCCACCCAGTCCCATTAGCACCCCTACCCCATGCTCCCCCAGCCCCCACGTACTCCTTCAGACAGTGCGCTGCAGTCAGGACCCAGCGGGGGTGGACGAGGACTGCCCCGCAGAGCAGCCGCCCCTGAACCAGCAGGGCTGCCTGCCAGGGCTGAGAGTGGGGAGGGCAGGTGTAGCCGCCTGGGAGAAACCCATTGGTCCCATTGGTGCTGTTGATAATCTTGGGATAGTCCTGAGAGACGCCTGGTAAAGGAGAGAAAATGTTAGAGAAGAGAGTGGGGGTTCAGGCAGAGGAGGCCTGGGGGTGTAATTCTTGAGTTTGGGGAGGGTCAGAACTGGCTCTTGGTGACCAGGAACGGATGCTTCATCTCTTGGGCTCTGGGAGTTGCCATTTTCGATGGAGCAGAGATGAGTCAGGGCAAAGAGATGACAACGTCCTTTTCCACGGAAGTGTCCTATCCTCCATTGGGGGGAGGAAGGAAGAGTTCACTGAATGAAGATGTTTCTGATAAGCTTTCTCCCCACCTCCATTTTCTCTCTCATTCCACCACAGGGATGGGTCTCAAGAGGTAGAAGCGAGATGGACCTCCACAACCACCTAGGCAACATCCATCCATCCCTTCATCATCCATCCATCCCTTCATCCATCTATCATCCATCCATCCATCCTTCCATCCATCCATCCCTTCATCCATCCATCCCTTCATCATTCTTCCAGCCCTTCATCATCCATCCATCCCTTCATCCATCTATCATCCATCCATCCATCCTTCCATCCATCCATCCCTTCATCCATCCATCCCTTCATCATTCTTCCAGCCCTTCATCATCCATCCATCCCTTCATCCATCTATCATCCATCCATCCATCCTTCCATCCATCCATCCCTTCATCCATCCATCCCTTCATCATTCTTCCAGCCCTTCATCATCCATCCATCCCTTCATCCATCTATCATCCATCCATCCATCCTTCCATCCATCCATCCCTTCATCCATCCATCCCTTCATCATTCTTCCAGCCCTTCATCATCCATCCATCCCTTCATCCATCTATCATCCATCCATCCATCCTTCCATCCATCCATCCCTTCATCCATCCATCCCTTCATCATTCTTCCAGCCCTTCATCATCCATCCATCCCTTCATCCATCTATCATCCATCCATCCATCCATCCATCCATCCATCCCTTCATCCATCCATCCATCTGTCTATTCATCCATCCCCCCATCCCTTTATCTATCTACCCATCTGTCCATCCACCCATCCCTTCATCCATCCATCCATCCATCTGTCCATCCATCCCTCCATCCTTTATCGATCCACCCATCTGTCTATCCAAGCATCCATCCGTCCATCCATCCAAGCATCCATCCATCCACCCACTCATCTGTCCATCCATGCATCCATCTTTTTAACACCTTATTTACTGGGTTACTCTATGGCTTCAAATACCATCCATAGGCTAACTACTGTTCAGTTCAAAGTTTGCAGGATTCTGAATCATCTGACCTTTGTTAATCTCCTCAACCCCATCCCTAGCCTCTCTCCTCTTCAGTCACTCTGTTCCAGTTTCAAGGATCTGTTCTCAAACTGACCAGGGCCTTTGCACTTGCTGCTTCCTCTTTCTCGACAGTTCTTTCTCCAGACCTGCACTGTTCATATGGTAGCACTAGTTGGTGTGGCTAAATTTAGACCATCAAAACAAAACTTAAAAATTCAGTTCTTGCCCTGGCCAGTGTGGCTTAGTGGTAAAGTATCGGCCCTGGACCGAAGAGTGGCAGGTTCAATTCCCGCCAAAAGCACACACCTGGGTTGCAGGTCGATCCCAGGCCCCAGTTGGGGCATGTGCGGGAGGCAACCAATCAATGTGTCTCCCACATCGATGTCTCTCTTTCTCTCTCTCTCTCCCGCCCCCCCCCCTTTCTTCCACTCTCTAAAACTATCAATGGAAAACCTATCAAGTGAGGATTAACAAAATAAAAAATAAAAATTCACCTCTTCAGCCACACCAGTCATATTTGAAATGCTCAAATAACTGCAAGTGGCCCGTGGCCACCCTATTGGACACTGCAGATATAGGAGGGAGATAGACCTAGCATAGCCTCTGACACACAGTAGGTGCTCAGCCAATGTCCTGTGTGCCTGGCCCTGTATCTGGCCCTGGACACAGCCGTTGACAATGGAACAGAGAAAGCCCAGTTCTGAATGGGCCGCTTTTTGGCTGGGGATCCCGTCACAGGCTGCCAGCCTCTGTCTTCTTAGCGATCCAGTGGGGAGAGAACAGTTCCATCTCTCATGGGGCAGCCATAGGATTCGGCAAAATCCTATACCTAGGACACACACGGCACTTAGCCGGTGGCTACTATTGCTATTGTTGCTATTATTAGCTGCACCAGGAGGGCCCCAGCTGTGTGGCCAGCAGGCCCCTTCCCCACCTCCATAAGCAGCCAGATTAGCCCAGTGGTTCTCAAAGTTGGGGACAGAAGTCATTGGTGGGCGCAAGGTCATTTTGGGGGGGCACAGGATGAGGCGTAAGCAACATCAGATTGTATCCTCAGACACGGTCACTGTCCGGTTCTCTTCCAATTCAGATCTTCACATGGATTTTTACAGAGTCCAGGAAGGGAGAGGGGGAGAGAGAGAAGCATCCATCGGCTGCCTCCTGCATGCCCCCTACTGGGGATCGAGCCCACAACTCGGGCATGTGCCCTGACCAGGAATCGAACCTGAGACCTCTCTGTGCATGGGATAATGATCAACAAACTGAGGTGAGCTGATCGAGCCCACAACTCGGGCATGTGCCCTGGCCGGGAATCGAACCTGAGACTTCTCTGGGCATGGGATGATGATCAACAAACTGAGGTGAGCTCTAACCACTTCGGCTCAGTGGATGGAGCGTTGGCCTGCAGACTGAAGGGTCCCAGGTTCGATTCCGGTCAAGGGCATGTACCTGGGTTGCAGGCACATCCCCAGTAGGGAGTGTGCAGGAGGCAGCTGATCAATGTTTCTCTCTCATCTCTGAATTTTCTAACTCTCTATCCCTCTCCCTTCCACTCTGTAAAAAAATCAATAAAATATATATTTAAAAGAAATCAATAAAATATATTTTAAAAAAACAAATAAACACCGAAAATATTTTTTTTTAAAAAGGTTCTAAGCAGGTCATTGGGGCCTAAAATAATGAAGATGGACGCCAGGACGTGGGGGACGGGACGGGGCAGGCGTGGATTAGAACCCTGATTCAGGGGCGCTGCTGTCTCAGCCGGGCTCTCCTGTCAGAGGCTTGGCTTTTTCAGCTGTGAAACTGGAGTAATTACAGCTCAGGTTCCTCCTAAGACTGTTGAGGACTCCACACGCCAATGCATGTGGAGTTCCTAGCCCAGGGCGTGGCGCCCAGGAGGGGCCCGGGATCTGGCAGGAGTCCTGGGAGTGTCGCCAAAGGAGACGAGGCACCCCACCTCCAGGCCAGGGCTGGTGCCGGGTGCCCCGTGGCCCCCTCCCTCCATTGGGTCTCAGCTCTAGCGTCTAGTCCAGGGGTCCTCAAACTTTTTAAACAGGAGGCCAGTTCACTGTCCCTCAGACCGTTGGAGGGCCGGACTATAGTTTTAAAAAAAAACTATGAACAAATTCCTATGCACACTGCACATATCTTATTTTGAAGTAAAAAAACAAACAAAACGGGAACAAATACAATATTTGTATTTGCATGTGGCCCGCGGGCCATAGTTTGAGGGCCCCTGGTCTAGTCCTTTGGGGGAGGGAGGCGTCCTGGTTTGGTCCTTTAAAGCCATCCCCTCCTGCAACAATTGCAGCTGATGATTAACTCATTATTTGGGTAATTGTTGGAACGAGTTCTGGGTGCTGAGAGCAGGGACCCGGTCTGGATTGCAGAGCTGTGGGGTGTTTTTATTTTTTAAAAAAGAATTATTACTGAATGTATTGGGGTGCCACTGGTGAATAAAAGGATGTAGCTGTCAGGGTTACACGTCTATAATACATCATCTGAATGCATGAATGATGCCTGAATGGGGTTTCCAGAGAACTTGCCGGCAAAGGCAGGGAGGTGGGGGTCGGGGGCTTACATGGGAGAGGACTGACTATGGGTAGAATCAGATAGGTCTGGGGTCACCCCAAGGGTGAAAGGAAGAACCGGGAGGCTCCGAGAACTTTTTTAAGAAGGTAACAGTGACGACTAACCAATAACCAACCTCCCCTCCCTTCCATCGGCCAGGCAGTCAGCAAGCACAGACGGGCGTGACCCGGTTTCATTTTAATATTCGCACCAACCCTCTGTGGGCAAAAAGCCCATTTACAGTTATGAGCACTAGGCGAAACGCGGGGTTTATGCTTGTATTATTATTATTATTACTAATTAATTTATTAACGATTGCATTAGGTAAACCTTCTTTTGCCCAGCCCCGTACGTCCCCATTGCACAGATGGAACAACCGAGGCACGGAGAAGCGAAGCCACTCGCTCAGAGCGGCAGCGGCAGGATTCGAACCCCTGTGGGTGCGACTCCTCTCCCTCGGGGAGGCCAGGAATGGGGGAGGGGCTGGGGGGATGGGCTTTTCAACGCGGAGTCAGAGAGAAGAGGGGGCCCTGCTGTGGACACTGGGCTGACCGCAGCCAGGAAACCAGGTCACTCCGGGATAAGCAGGAAGTTTTTGGAACCGTCCCCAGG